CTCCCCTACCAAGTTTCTCTGGAACTAAAGTTTAAATTTCAAAACATATTTTTTAAATGGGGTCCACATTGGATTTATGATTTAATCAAATATCGAAAGTTTGTCAATACCATCAGTCGTTTATCTCAACCTAGTGGAAGTTAAATTGGTCCACAATAACTTGAGTTTAAGTTTGAAATAGCTAGGGTTCTTGAAATAATGGTTGTACTGAGTTTGTCAAAAATATGGAAACTAAATACCAAAACATACCCTATTCTTTTTCTAAATCTTCAAAATCTACATCACAGCAGAAGATGATTTTGCTGCCAACAAACTGATGAAATGTGATGTTACAATACGATGTTCTATACAATTGTGATACAATATTTATGATTCTCATTTGGATATTTTGTCAGGCTAACAAGGTTCAATAGAAGGCTAGGTTCAACTCACCCACAAATCCAATCACACAAAGTGTTATAGAGATATCACAGTTTTTCATCTTTAGCTCCTGTCGCAGACCGTTGAAGAACCCGTTGAGGGCAAATTTAGAAGCTGAGTATGCTATGGTAAAAGGTTGAGCTATTTTTCCTGAAAAATAAAAAAAAATGAAATATGTATTCCTAATACTACCAACAAAACTTCTGAATTACCTCCCCTTACCTTAACGTCTATCTTTGTGAATTATTTTAAAACGTATTTTACTACGAAATAGCAAACATGAATAACTGATGGTACATGTAAAAGAATTCCAGGTTTTGCCCACCTGATCATGAAAGCTGTATAGTTAGAGGCAATTAACTATGATACAACCCTAAAATTCATCTACAGGGGTCCAAAACATACCATGTTCTTTCCACAAAAGAAATTTAGCACAAACGAATCATGCACTTTCTTTAACGTGAAAAACAGTCATGCTTTATTCCCAAAACATTTTCACAGCACTTTACCAAAGAAAAATGAAAATTATTTAATTACTGTCCAATACACTACATCTGTGTACCCACAACCATTACCCATGATCGACAACCATGTAACAGGACCAATCATCAAGGGGAGACAATCACCATGTACTGGACAACTCACCTGAGAGCGAGGATATGACGATAATATGTCCGTTGCTCTGTGTGAGTAAGGGGTGACAATTACCATGTACTAGACAACTCACCTGAGAGCAAGGACATGACGATAATATGTCCGTTGCTCTATGACAGTAAGATGTGGCAATCACAATGTACTGGACAACTCACCTGAGAGAGAGGATATGACGATAATATGTCCGTTGCTCTATGACAGTAAGATGTGGCAATCATCATGTACTGGACAACTCACGGACCAATCATCAAGGGGAGACCATCCCCATGTACTGGACAACTCACCTGAGAGCGAGGACATGACGATGATATGACCGTTGCTCTATGTCAGTAAGATGTGGCAATCACCATGTACTGGACAACTCACCTGAGAGCGAAGACATGACGATGATATGACCGTTGCTCTGTGTCAGTAAGGGGAGACAATCACCATGTATGAGACTACTCATCTGAGAGCGAGGACATGACGATAATATGTCCGTTGCTCTGTGTCAGTAAGGGGAGACAATCACCATGTATGAGACTACTCATCTGAGAGCGAGGAAATGACGATAATATGTCCGTTGCTCTGTGTCAGTAAGGGGAGACAATTACCATGTACTCGACAACTCACCTGAGAGCGAGGACATGACGATAATATGTCCGTTGCACTGTGTCAGTAAGGGGTGACAATTACCATGTACTAGACAACTCACCTGAGAGCGAGGATATGACAATTATATGTCTGTTGCACTGTGTCAGTAAGGGGAGACAATCACCATATACTGGACAACTCACCTGAGAGCGAGGACATGATGATTATATGTCCGTTGCTCTGTGTCAGTAAGGGGGGACAATTACCATGTACTGGACAACTCACCTGAGAGCGAAGATAGTTGCACTGTGTCACTAAGGGGTGACAATTACCATGTACTGGACAACTCACATGAGAGCGAGGACATGACGATAATATGTCTGTTGCCCTGTGTCACTAAGGGGTGACAATTACCATGTACTGGACAAGTCACGTGAGAGCGAAGACATGATGATAATATGTCCGTTGCTCTGTGTCAGTAAGGGGTGACAATCACCATGTACTGGACAACTCACCTGAGAGCGAGGACATGACGATGATATGACCGTTGCTCTATGTCAGTAAGATGTGGCAATCATCATGTACTGGACAACTCACCTGAGAGCGAAGACATGACTATAATATGTCCGTTGCTCTGTGTCAGTAAGGGGAGACAATTACCATGTACTCGACAACTCACCTGAGAGCGAGGACATGACGATAATATGTCTGTTGCACTGTGTCACTAAGGGGTGACAATCACCATGTACTGGACAACTCACCTGAGAGCGAGGATATGACAATTATATGTCCGTTGCTCTGTGTCAGTAAGGGGTGACAATTACCATGTACTGGACAACTCACCTGAGAGCGAGGACATGACGATAATATGTCCGTTGCACTGTGTCAGTAAGGGGTGACAATCACCATGTACTGGACAACTCACCTGAGAGCGAGGACATGACGATAATATGTCCGTTGCTCTGTGTCAGTAAGGGGTGACAATCACCATGTACTGGACAACTCACCTGAGAGCGAGGACATGACGATAATATGTCCGTTGCTCTGTGTCAGTAAGGGGTGACAATCACCATGTACTGGACAACTCACCTGAGAGCGAGGACATGACGATAATATGTCCGTTGCTCTGTGTCAGTAAGGGGTGACAATCACCATGTACTGGACAACTCACCTGAGAGCGAGGACATGACGATAATATGTCCGTTGCTCTGTGTCAGTAAGGGGTGACAATCACCATGTACTGGACAACTCACCTGAGAGCGAGGACATGACGATAATATGTCCGTTGCTCTGTGTCAGTAAGGGGTGACAATCACCATGTACTGGACAACTCACCTGAGAGCGAGGACATGACGATAATATGTCCGTTGCTCTGTGTCAGTAAGGGGTGACAATCACCATGTACTGGACAACTCACCTGAGAGCGAGGACATGACGATAATATGTCCGTTGCTCTGTGTCAGTAAGGGGTGACAATCACCATGTACTGGACAACTCACCTGAGAGCGAGGACATGACGATAATATGTCCGTTGCTCTGTGTCAGTAAGGGGTGACAATCACCATGTACTGGACAACTCACCTGAGAGCGAGGACATGACGATAATATGTCCGTTGCTCTGTGTCAGTAAGGGGTGACAATCACCATGTACTGGACAACTCACCTGAGAGCGAGGACATGACGATAATATGTCCGTTGCTCTGTGTCAGTAAGGGGTGACAATCACCATGTACTGGACAACTCACCTGAGAGCGAGGACATGACGATAATATGTCCGTTGCTCTGTGTCAGTAAGGGGTGACAATCACCATGTACTGGACAACTCACCTGAGAGCGAGGACATGACGATAATATGTCCGTTGCTCTGTGTCAGTAAGGGGTGACAATCACCATGTACTGGACAACTCACCTGAGAGCGAGGACATGACGATAATATGTCCGTTGCTCTGTGTCAGTAAGGGGTGACAATCACCATGTACTGGACAACTCACCTGAGAGCGAGGACATGACGATAATATGTCCGTTGCTCTGTGTCAGTAAGGGGTGACAATCACCATGTACTGGACAACTCACCTGAGAGCGAGGACATGACGATAATATGTCCGTTGCTCTGTGTCAGTAAGGGGTGACAATCACCATGTACTGGACAACTCACCTGAGAGCGAGGACATGACGATAATATGTCCGTTGCTCTGTGTCAGTAAGGGGTGACAATCACCATGTACTGGACAACTCACCTGAGAGCGAGGACATGACGATAATATGTCCGTTGCTCTGTGTCAGTAAGGGGTGACAATCACCATGTACTGGACAACTCACCTGAGAGCGAGGACATGACGATAATATGTCCGTTGCTCTGTGTCAGTAAGGGGTGACAATCACCATGTACTGGACAACTCACCTGAGAGCGAGGACATGACGATAATATGTCCGTTGCTCTGTGTCAGTAAGGGGTGACAATCACCATGTACTGGACAACTCACCTGAGAGCGAGGACATGACGATAATATGTCCGTTGCTCTGTGTCAGTAAGGGGTGACAATCACCATGTACTGGACAACTCACCTGAGAGCGAGGACATGACGATAATATGTCCGTTGCTCTGTGTCAGTAAGGGGTGACAATCACCATGTACTGGACAACTCACCTGAGAGCGAGGACATGACGATAATATGTCCGTTGCTCTGTGTCAGTAAGGGGTGACAATCACCATGTACTGGACAACTCACCTGAGAGCGAGGACATGACGATAATATGTCCGTTGCTCTGTGTCAGTAAGGGGTGACAATCACCATGTACTGGACAACTCACCTGAGAGCGAGGACATGACGATAATATGTCCGTTGCTCTGTGTCAGTAAGGGGTGACAATCACCATGTACTGGACAACTCACCTGAGAGCGAGGACATGACGATAATATGTCCGTTGCTCTGTGTCAGTAAGGGGTGACAATCACCATGTACTGGACAACTCACCTGAGAGCGAGGACATGACGATAATATGTCCGTTGCTCTGTGTCAGTAAGGGGTGACAATCACCATGTACTGGACAACTCACCTGAGAGCGAGGACATGACGATAATATGTCCGTTGCTCTGTGTCAGTAAGGGGTGACAATCACCATGTACTGGACAACTCACCTGAGAGCGAGGACATGACGATAATATGTCCGTTGCTCTGTGTCAGTAAGGGGTGACAATCACCATGTACTGGACAACTCACCTGAGAGCGAGGACATGACGATAATATGTCCGTTGCTCTGTGTCAGTAAGGGGTGACAATCACCATGTACTGGACAACTCACCTGAGAGCGAGGACATGACGATAATATGTCCGTTGCTCTGTGTCAGTAAGGGGTGACAATCACCATGTACTGGACAACTCACCTGAGAGCGAGGACATGACGATAATATGTCCGTTGCTCTGTGTCAGTAAGGGGTGACAATCACCATGTACTGGACAACTCACCTGAGAGCGAGGACATGACGATAATATGTCCGTTGCTCTGTGTCAGTAAGGGGTGACAATCACCATGTACTGGACAACTCACCTGAGAGCGAGGACATGACGATAATATGTCCGTTGCTCTGTGTCAGTAAGGGGTGACAATCACCATGTACTGGACAACTCACCTGAGAGCGAGGACATGACGATAATATGTCCGTTGCTCTGTGTCAGTAAGGGGTGACAATCACCATGTACTGGACAACTCACCTGAGAGCGAGGACATGACGATAATATGTCCGTTGCTCTGTGTCAGTAAGGGGTGACAATCACCATGTACTGGACAACTCACCTGAGAGCGAGGACATGACGATAATATGTCCGTTGCTCTGTGTCAGTAAGGGGTGACAATCACCATGTACTGGACAACTCACCTGAGAGCGAGGACATGACGATAATATGTCCGTTGCTCTGTGTCAGTAAGGGGTGACAATCACCATGTACTGGACAACTCACCTGAGAGCGAGGACATGACGATAATATGTCCGTTGCTCTGTGTCAGTAAGGGGTGACAATCACCATGTACTGGACAACTCACCTGAGAGCGAGGACATGACGATAATATGTCCGTTGCTCTGTGTCAGTAAGGGGTGACAATCACCATGTACTGGACAACTCACCTGAGAGCGAGGACATGACGATAATATGTCCGTTGCTCTGTGTCAGTAAGGGGTGACAATCACCATGTACTGGACAACTCACCTGAGAGCGAGGACATGACGATAATATGTCCGTTGCTCTGTGTCAGTAAGGGGTGACAATCACCATGTACTGGACAACTCACCTGAGAGCGAGGACATGACGATAATATGTCCGTTGCTCTGTGTCAGTAAGGGGTGACAATCACCATGTACTGGACAACTCACCTGAGAGCGAGGACATGACGATAATATGTCCGTTGCTCTGTGTCAGTAAGGGGTGACAATTACCATGTACTGGACAACTCACCTGAGAGCGAGGACATGACGATAATATGTACGTTGCTCTGTGTCAGTAAGGGCTGACAATTACCATGTACTGGACAACTCACCTGAGAGCGAGGACATGACGATAATATGTCCGTTGCTCTGTGTCAGTAAGGGGAGACAATCACCATGTATGAGACAACTCACCTGAGAGCGAGGACATGACGATAATATGTCCGTTGCTCTGTGTCAGTAAAGGAAGCGCATGTGATGTCAGGTGGACATATGCCTTAAAGTTGACATCAAACAGCTTGTCTAGGTGTGTGAGGTTCTCGGTACTGCCGACCCAGAGACCTAAAGGGGCACTAATGATGTGGTTCAGAACTAGATAATCCAGTCCTCCGAGGCGAGCCCGCACCTCCTGTTCATGGTAAAACATATATAAGGTCACTTCAACTCTCTTATCCTACCGTTACAACAAGATCTCATACATTTGTGATTTAAAAATCTCATTTTATACAAAGAAAACAAATTTACAGAATTTATCAATGTTGTAGTCATGCCAGTATCAGTGATACTGGGATAATACTGGGATATTTAGCTCATTCACCCCTGACATTTCATAATGAACTATTCCAATTTTTGAACTGGAAGAGTTAAAATGTGTCTTCAGGGGTGAATGAGTTAAGGTTCATTCAAAGTTCTACCCTGCACAAACTTGTTATAATAAAGACCTAGAGCACAATACCATCATCATACTGAATAGCTTGTAATAATTGTGGGAGATTTCTCTGTATTTGTGGTCACCAAAGATAGCACAAAATTAACTACCAAGCGATTTTTAATACCCTGAATACATGTAAATATATTCAGGTACAATGGAAAAATCTGTCTACCTGCTTACTATTGAATGGTGAAGATAGTTAAATATCACAGTTTACTTTATTTTTACAAAACACCTGAATACAAAAGTATCTTAGTCAGTGTCATTACTTAGCTATGTTGCACAACATTGAATCCTCTAGTTCTAATTGTGAAAACTGTGAAATATTAGCCCAACGAAAAATAAACACTTAAATTTTTCAAGGGAAATGAGCAGCCACTGTACCTTTACCTGGTATACCAGTACAAGTTACTTTAAGGGTTTTCTGACTTTGGTACATACATTCATGACTCGATCTGTGTCCGTCAGGTTGGACATATCCGCTGGGATGTAATCAAAGATGGCCGACTTATCTCCCAGTTCACGACACCGAGCTACAACCTGAGGAATAAAAAGGAGATATCTATGTATATAAGTCTGGGTCATGCTATAATTCTAGGTTATGATTTTCACTGATAAATTTATTTCTGTGGACAGTATCTTTGTATGACATTAGATGTTGAAAGGAAAGAGAACTCTAAACAAACCTGCTGTAGTCGGTTCTCCCTGCGGGCCGTAACAATGACACTGGCCCCCATACGCGCGAAGTGGTAAGCCATCTGTTCCCCGATCCCTCCGGATCCTCCTGTGATAAGCACTCGTTTCCCTTGTACAACATCTGTAAAACAATCATGCACACTTTAATTTACAGGTGTACCTTATAATGTAACAGGTATCTCCTGTCCGAAAAGGTCAGTTCCACCAACGGAAACCAGAAAAATGGTTTTGTGAATGGTTGGTTAGATTTAATTAATTGCTGACAAATTCAAGGTCACACAAATTTGATTTTGGTTAAAAACTGACAAGTTCAGGTGTATCATTCTGTCATGTATCCTTTTGTGTTGTTTTAATTTTGAAATCAGACTCAGGTTTTATTTAGATTTATTATACATGTAACCACCCAGCATTGCAATCCTGGGGTTATAACGTTGTCATATATTGAATTATTTGTGGCAATTATTTGGTGGTGAAATGTAGAATCAACTATCAAAGTAAAAAATATCTGAGGCACAAACATTTTGGTATTATTACCAAACAACAAGTATTTTTAAGTCAAAAAGCATAAAAATTTCAGCCTATTTTGTAATGTATTAACAAAGAGAATTAATAAATGCAGAATTCTGAAAAAAAACAGCAGCACATCTGTGTATCCTGACAATATACGACAAATATGTTTCAAGTATTGTCTTACGTTTTTGTTTGTGTGATATTTCTAAATCTGACTATTTTGTATGACCGTATATTGACCCCCTAATTAAGATGTATGTGTTGAAGGTCAATTAATTATCCTATATTACTATAATTATGTTTTAGTTTTATTTCAACTAACATTAAAAGTCTGCCATTTATCTTGTTAACTCATTCACCTCTGCATTTCATAATGAACTAATCCAATCTTTGAATCAGAAGAGTTCAAAAAGACAGTTTTTTTTTACTTTTATAATGTACTTCAAGGGGACTAACTCTTTGTTTCTAAAGCCATAACATTTAGGTGAAGGGAGGTAACTCTTCCTGACTTATTAGCTGTACCTGGATTGAAGTCGTCGATGAGCCAGTAGCCTACTATTACACCAAGGAGAACAGCCAAGACCTTCTTCCACATAGCAGCCAGCCAGCGTGGAGCCTACAACACCAGCATCTTACAATAACTGACATGTTGGATAGAACTAGTCTACCTAGTGGTGAATAATTAGCTCCTCTAAAAACACACCAATTAAAAATCAAATCATCACAAACATACAAAATACAGTCAGAAGCTCACTAAATTGAAAAATTCTTAGAAGACTCGTTTCATAAATCTCATATGAAATGGAAACTCATGTCAGATCCTATATATATAAAATAATTATTTTTAGAAACATTTACAGATATGAAATCTTATAGCAAGTTTCATAAACTTACATTACAATTTTACAGTAGAGAAGTATTAAAAACTCCAAAATTATTGTTATTTAAATTTAACATTATATATATCTGTTAAGGGCATTAAATGTTTACCATTAACAACAATAAAGTAAGATTTAACTCGAAGTGGGAGCTTTGTGAATGTCCTGAGATGGTCAGAGACACCAATGGTTTCTATACAGGACAATGTGGAAGATATGTTAACGAAACCAGTGTACTATCTAAATTGATTGTAATGTCAACAGGACTAAGTCTAAAAAGTAGATGAATTGTTGCTAAATACACGGTACTTCATTGGGATACCTTCATCAATGTAGGATGGTACTTGATGTCATGGATAAAGGTAAAATTGGATGCAGTGACCTTATTTTGGTAAACAATGATTTATGTCAATGATTTATGTACATAACAAGTTTGATCTCCCTAAAATCGGGGCCAACAAGAGTGATTAACATAAGTTGAAATAACTTGTTTCATAATTAATGAAAGAAAAATAAAGTTTATATATATCAATATTCTTACTTGAATCAGTTGGAGAGACAAGGCCCAGAAACTTAAGCTCAGTCATTGAGTTCAAGTTCAAAATTTGGGAATTTTGTTAAGTGACACAACTCCCCTACTGATGTACAGAAATGATGAAACAGTGGCGGAGACATGCTCAGGAAACTGGGAGGATAGACGTATACACACACATACTGGCAAGGCAAAAATTACCTCGCCTTGACCTCGTTCAAACAGGATTATTACTATTGTTTAGAAATTAGCATTGATACAAAAACAAGAGGCCCAGAGGACCTGTATCGCTCACCTGTTTCTTTTGTTACATGAAACTGACATATAGCTAACTTCAGACTAAATACGGTAACTAGAACACAAGACATTTTAACATCTCTTAAACGGTTCTTAAGATACTGTTGTTTGAAATTTGAAATTTGAATTTGAAATCTTCTTAACCACGTTGACCTTTGACCCCCGACTAGCACTTAAAGTTGACATTTGACCTCATTACTGTAATAACAAAAGTGATCCACACTGCTGGTCTACATAACATACCCAAGTATCATGACTGCATGTAGTCCAAAAGGTTCTAAGGATATTGTTGTTTGAAGTTTTTAACATATTTGACCCCTGTGACCTTGAAACTAGGTCAAGGTCATTTTAATGAGGAAACTTTATAGCATTCCATCCCAGGTACCTACTGGCCAAATATCCTGACCCTAGGTCTTCCAGTTCTTCAGAAAAAGTTGTTCAAAAGAAAAGTTGACGGACGAAGGAGGCTGCAGTGCAGCATAAGCTCACCTGGCCTTTGAGCCAGGTGAGCTAAAAATTGAGTTACTGATACTTGAGTCATATGATGTAAATCATCATTTGGGCAAACAATGATTGACACACACACACTACAAATGTAATGGTGTTCATTATGTACTGAACAAATGCTTACAAAATAAGGACACAAACATTATCTATCATCAAGTATCTGTATGAACACCATATTTCTGATCTCAAATCTTCGAGATTACATACAGTGACACAAATCGGAATAAATGTGAGAGTGTACACTATAACCCTAAGCTCAAAGTCAGCATGCTGTATCATGGCTAAAAAGTCTCAAAAAGCTATGTTTTTCCTGTCTTATCTCAGAGACCAGTAGTGATAAGAATTTGAATACTGTGGTAGAAACAGGGGCTTTCTGTTTCCTGAAATAAGTCTCCCTTTGGGCCACCGCACTGGTTGTAAACTTGTGGTAAACACTGCAGACTCAGATCTAATATTCTTTTGTTCAGAAAACTGAAAGCAGTTCATCAACACCATCCTCTAAATCCCCTTGGAAGGATAAACACTAGGTTATGTATAGTCAGGGGTAGAGGCACTCTTACCTGAAACAAGGATAAACACTAGGTTAGGTATTGAGTCAGGGGTAGAGGCACTTTTTTTCCTGAAGCAAGGATAAACACTAGGTTAGGTATAGAGTCAGGGGTAGAGGCACTTTTACCTGAAACAAGGATAAACACTAGGTTAGGTATAGAGTCAGGGGTAGAGGCACCCTTACCTGAAACAAGGATAAACACTAGGTTAGGTATAGAGTCAGGGGTAGAGGCACCCTTACCTGAAACAAGGATAAACACTAGGTTAGGTATAGAGTCCGGGGTAGAGGCACTTTTTACTTGAAACAAGAGGAGACATTAACTATTAAAAGATTTGTTCCTCATTTGGGCATGTCAAAAACTTTTGTTTTAACTGAAATGTATTACATCATTTGAGGCTCAATGGAAGTTTAACTTAAATTACTAAAACCTGTCTGTAAAATAGTTTATATATCTCATTATAAATTATACAAGAAATATATTTGTGTAACAGACAAAAGAAATGCTCATCAAGACTGGGATTCAAAGCCTGAACCCTCCAAACTCTAGACAGATGCTCTAACCTATTGCACTACCTGGGCACCAGAAATTGACCCAATTCCAATCTTCTACATTCCTCCCTCCTTTAATTAAGTTTTCAACTCTGAAGATACACAGAACCTTATTCCACCTATGTGATGTTTATTTTGTATTTTGTTGGGCATTAAATGTAACAGGAGAGAGAAAATACACAGCAAAATTCTGATTGGAACCAGGGTCACTGCGAACTCTAGACAGACGCTCTAACAAATTGAGCTACCTGGTCGCTGGCTACCAACCCTATCAAGTTCTGTTACATTCTTCCCTCCTTTAAAGAAGTCTTCCACCCCAAAGACACAGGAGACCCTATACCACCTTCCCTGGAAAGCAAATGGGACTTTTCAAGTGTGGATTCTCCAATAAAAATACCCTTTAGTGTTATTTCTCAATACATACTATTGTATAATTCACCACCTCTCGAGGGGGAAGTTAGGTAACAAAGTTCACAATTCTGATAAAGCACCTATATCTAAGAAGGGTATTAAGTCATTCACCCCTAAAGACACATTTGAACCCTTCCAATTCAAAGGTTGGAACAGTTCATTATGAAATTCCAGGGGTGAATTAGTTAACTTGTAGAATTTCTGTGTAAGATGCATGACTTCGTCTTTGTGATCTTTCGGCGCTGCCTGTCATTGTCTACTTTTCACTTTGTCGGCCGACAGTATATATATTTTTTACTACAATGTGAGCTTATCATGTAAGTGCAGCGATATTAAGACAGGAAAGTCCTTGTTGAACTTACATAGAACTTACATAGTACCATTCTTCACGTACTTGTTAAGTGGATTAAGTACCTCCTTGTAATAATTTCACTCAGACAAAGCTGGTATACAAATCAGTTTTGCAGGATGGTACGTATCACAGGGTCTTCAGAAGTGTCTGTATTAACATAGAAACGTATTACGGGACAGCTTACAAAGGGTACATTAGGATTACTACCCCACTAATCCCTTTGTCCCACTATCCTCAGCTGATCCCACTAACCCATGTGTCTACTGGCAAGCTAAGGTATAGTTGGTAACACTACATCAGTTGTAATCCTGAAGACAAGTTCCAATCAGAGGTATTTGTACTTGGCTATCCCATCTATATAGAAGATAAAGCGACCTTATAGAGTTTTTCTGGCTTACAGTAAATTCACCTGTCAAGTTTTTAAAAAGCTTTGTCACCCATAAATGTGACACTCATTTTGATGCTGTGTTTGTATAATTCCTGTCATTAATATTGATAAAGTGCAGGCTTGGTAATGTAAAGGATCCGGATTTGGCACAGTTTTTCTTTCTTTTTTTTCCTTTCTATTATTCAAAACATTCAAATTTCGAAATTTCTACTATTCTGTAAAATGCATGGCAACATGTGATTTTTGTGAAATATTTCTTTTTGAAAGGCTGTTTAATGACTATGTGACAATTATAGTGACAGTGATGATAATGCTGGTACCCTAAACCTTAATCTGGTTTCCCCACTCTGCTACCAGTGGTTTTGGGAATAGATGTGCTTTTATCGTTTTATAATAGTCTCCGTATTATCCGGCTGTCTTTAAACCAGCCCCTTGTGTAAGGTACAAACTTGGTCGCAATGCGAACCTTTTTCTACAGAAAGTCTCATTTCATTAATAATGGCAGTCAAATGAGTTTCATCTTTTCATTTTTTTTAAAATGCAGATCAGAGCGTGTTCTATTTATTGATGGAAACATTTATGTGAACAAATTCATAAAGATTGGTATCAAACAAAATTTCCATTTTACTTTATTAAAAAAATCTTTAATGTACATTACATTACGACTTTTAAATCATTCCCTGTACCTATTTTATGTAGATGTGGGAATTTAACAAGTACATGCATTTATATTTAACTACGAATGTCGAATGTCGGTGGGTTATCAAGATTTAAATATAATTTGCCCCATCATAGCTGTTAACAGTTATCAGCCTGGCGTCCCCAACCAGAAAATTAGACTGAATTATCATAATGTATAACGATAAAACCTACATAAAGTTACACAAAGCGTGCACTTGTTTAAAGGAAAATGCTGATATACTGGGTAGAGAGAAAGGGGACACTTGTTGGTGGGGAAACGTGTGTACTTAATGGTACAAAAGAAAAACAGTATGCTTGTTCAGGGGAACTAATATAGGGCCTCACACAACAGATCTAGACATACTTGTCCAAGGCTAGCACCAGTTTCAAATGAACAAGAGGCCCATGGGCCTTAACGGTCACCTGAGTCTATAGTATTTATTTTTGTTGTTGAAATATGTACCAATTTGA